GTTAGGGGGAAGGCTGGGAGGGGGTGTGGGGCTGTGGGGAGATGTGGGGCCTGGGGAGGTGAGATGGACGGGGCCTGGCTGTAGGGCGACGTGCAGGGGGGAGAGTTTGGGCCTCGTGGGGGTGGGGGGCGGCGAGCGGGGCTGTAGGACCCGGGAGGGAGATGGGGGTCCATAGGCTGTTCTGTGGCAGCCACAGAGCCCATCTCGGCCCGGCGCTCGGTGCCACCGCAGCTCCGCGCCTTCGCGCGGCTGTTCCCTGCTGTTCCCCCCACACCCTCAGCCTGCCCCTCGGTTCCTGCAGGATTCGCTTCCTGCTCTTTCTACGTAAGATCTGGGGCTGTTCCCCATCCCATCCTGCAGTCGGGTCTCCGCCCCACCAGGGTCCACTTGGTCCTGGGGTCTCCTCTACCCAATTCCCCCCCCCCGTGGCGGGGCTGCGCTCTCTCCCCAGGAGGTGGAATTCCTCTCGTCCTCCATCACCCAGCTCAAGGTGGTGCAGACCAAGTATGTGGAAGCCAAGGACTGCCTCAACGTGCTCAACAAAAGCAACGAAGGCAAGTGGGACCCCTGAGCGGCCGCAGGTTCTGCTCCTCTCCTTCCTGGCTTTGCTGCCTAAAATTACCTGGGGCTGAGGTGTGCCAACCCCGCTTTGGGAGAGTGACTGAGAGCTCTGCCTCCTGCCCCTCTCAATTCCTTGGGGCTCTGCTTCCCTTTCCCTGGGGAGGTTGGTCAGGTGCGATGCACAGCTGGGGGAACGGATGCGGCTGTAACACCCTCCCCAGATGCTTTGGGTTGTGTTTTGGCCCTGGGGGCTCCCCTTGCCCCAGCACTCACGCATCTCTTCTTGCTCTTCTGCAGGGAAGGACCTGCTGGTGCCTCTCACCAGCTCTGTATCCTTTGCAGTCCGCACAGCCCCATGTTGTTACCCTCTCCAGAGCCTGTAGGGTTGGCAGTTCCAGCCCTCAGTGCCTTTGATCCATCACAAACGCACACTGGCGTGGCGTGGCCTTGCTGGCACCAGGGCTCTGCCCCGGCTCCGCTGAGCTCAGCTCCCAGAGCTGCGTAACCATCGTGGTTCCCCACTTTCCCTGACCACCCCCGCCAGATGTACGTCCCTGGGAAGCTCTCAGATGTCGAGCGCGTGCTGATCGATGTCGGAACCGGATACTACGTGGAGAAGGTGAGGGGTGGAGAAGGTGAGGGGTGGAGAAGGTGAGGGGTGCGCGCCTGGATCGCCGCGGGGCAGCTTGGCAAAAGCGCTGTGTTCCCTTTGGAGCCGCTCCTCCTGCTGGTGCCGCAGGGCGCAGGCAAGCTGCTGCTGCTCCCGCCGCTGCTGCTCCCCGATGGCGCGCGCAGGGTGCGATTTCTGGGCCCCGGGAGGGGAATGCAGTTCCCAGCGCTGCTCGCTGCCTTTTCGCACCCCGGGGGCCGTGCTGCGGCGAGCGGGCGGTGTGAGCCGATCCCAGAACAGCCGCCTGTCGGCGCTGGCTGGCAAACAGGGCTGCCTCCGGAGGGGGGCCCTGCAGGGACTCAGCGCCTCGGCGCTGCTTTTGCCCTTTATGCACTCAGACTGCAGACGACGCCCGAGAGTTTTTCAAGCGGAAGATCGACTTCCTGACCAAGCAGATGGAGAAGATCCAGCCCCCGCTGCAGGAGAAGCACGCCATGAAGCAGGGTAAGGGCCGGCACCGCTGTTGCTCCGCGTTCGGGGCTGTCAGCGGCCCCTCACCACCCCGGTGCCTCTTCCCGCAGCTGTGGTGGAGATGATGAGCCAGAAGATCCAGCAGCTGACAGCCCTGGGGGCGGCACAGGGGGCCACCACCAAGGCGTGACCTTCAGCCTCAGCACCTGCCTTCCTCATCCCGCCAGGGAGCGGATTGGAGGCGCTGCGGGGACGCACGGCGTTCCGTGCCCATGTTGTCCCCACGCTCCTCGCGCCGCCGCTCCGATCCGAAGCTGTGCAGCGCTGCGAAGCGCGAGCCAAACCTTCCCTTATTGCGAAGCAGCGCTTTGCTGCCAGCACACGGAATAAACACGACCTGGGCACGGCCTCTTACTGCTTCTCAATCCACGCGACTCGTAATTTGAGACTCAACGGGGTCCTCAAAAAATGCCTTGATGTGGGGCAGCGTGACCCAAGGCATCGCTCCCAGCCTCTGCACCTCGCCTGTGCGACGGGGTGAGGTCACAGCAGAGCCCCCCCGTCCCAACACAACTCACCCGCATCCCCCAGACAGAAGTGCTTTATTCTACAGCCGTCCCGCCGCGCCCCACATCCCAGCCCCTCGCTTTGCTTCTACCCTACGACCCCCACCCCACGCTATGTACATCTACAGGGTCCAACCCTCCACGTTCACCGAGGGCCGGTGCTCCGGGCCTCGCATCCTGAGCCGCTCCATCCTCGGGCAGGGCGTCCCCCCCCAACCCCAGCTCAGTGCACGAAGACGGGTTTGTGGACGCGCTTGTGGCGTTTGAGCGTGGCGCTTTTGGCGAAGCTGTCCCCGCACTCCACGCAGATGTAAGGCTCGTGGCCGTGCGCCTGCGCCCGGTGCAGCTCCAGCTCGGCCCCGTCGCAGCAGCTCAGCCCGCACTCGGGGCAGGCGGGAGGCTGGCTGCAGGCCGCGTGCACCCGCTGGTGCTTCAGCAGGTTGGTGCTCTGCGCGAAGCCGCGGCCGCACTGCCCGCAGCGATGGGGCCGGGCCCCCGAGTGGGTGCGCTGGTGCTTGATGAGGTTTTTGCTCTGCGTGAAGCTCTTCCCGCACTGCCCGCAGCTGTAGGGCTTCTCCCCGGTGTGGATGCGTTGGTGCTGGATGAGGTTGGAGCTCCAGCTGAAGCTCTTCCCGCAGTCCCCGCAGCGGTACGGCTTCTCCCCGGTGTGCGTGCGGCGGTGCTGCACCAGGTGTGAGTTCTGGCTGAAGCTCTTCCCGCACTCCCCGCACGTGCTCGGCCGCTCCCCGGTGTGAGTCCGCTGGTGCCTCAGCAGTTTGGACCAGTGGCTGAAGCTCTTCCCGCACTCGTTGCAGATAAAAGGGCGCTGGCGGCCCCCCCGCAGCCGCCCCCCGCCGCCCTCCTGCTCCTCCTCGCCGTAGCCCCCCATGGCGGAGCCCCCGGCGCCGCGGCCCCCCGCTGCCCCTCGCTTCCTGCCTTTGGGGGTCAGGGGAAGCGGGGGGATGACGGTCTGGATGATCTCCTGCGGCAGCACCTCCTCCTTGCAGTCGCTCACGATGCCGTCGTCGACTGTGGGGCGGATGGAGAGAAGCTGGGGAGGGGGCTGGGACCCCCCAGGCTGTTTGTCTTTCCTTGGCGCTCTCTGGCCTCCCCCCCGCGGCTGTTAGCCCCCCACCCATCAAGACTCTCTCACCCACTTTTTGGGGCTGACTGCCCCCCTAATCGGATCTCTGCCCTTCTTCCCCCCCCCATCCACCTCCCCTTAGGGTTCATTGCCTCCCACGCCCCCCGTACCCCCTCCTCACCGATGCAGACCCTCCGCACCATGCCTGCCTCCTCCGGGTCGTGGAGTTCCACCACACAGGGCTCATCCTGCGCCATGGGGACAGCCGGGAGGGTCTGGGGGGCACCCAGACCTCAGTTG